AAAATTTTCAAAAACTGTAATTTGCTCCTATATCTTTGGGTCATACCTGTTAAGTTTGCATGCTGATAAGTTTCTTTGGCTTTGGCTCTATACTCAATTGATACATCTGTCGTGATGGTACAGAGCGAAGGCATTTTGTGGGGAGGGATTATAAGGGAAGAGAAAGAGATGAAGCTGGACAGCCACAAACTGGTTCTGTAACGTAAAGGTGACCCTATCTGTGTGTAGAGAGAGAGAGAGAGGTAATAATTCATCGTCATGCAGTCTCTAATAACACCAATGGAAGATTATCTAATATAACAGAGAGTAGTTCTCAGAGTTTACATAGTGGAATTTTTCTCTAGAAAATGAGTTAGGACATGGTGGTTTTGGGGCAGTTTATAAGGGGCAACTGGCTCATTTACTTATTTTCTGCTCACATTTCCTTCTCATCTCACCTTAGTGTTCTATTAGCTCATTTTGGAAAGAGTATAAACGCAAATTTGTAGAATACAAAATCTTGTATTTTGTATTATTTTATATCTATTTACACTGTACATATTTATATTTGTACTCCTTCCAAACTGATCATCCATTGGATTTGATATTAGTAACTGATGAAGGAAGATTTGGCCCGACCTCGCAATCACGCCACGTGGCAAAAAAAAAAAAAGTAGCTCGGCACTTAAAGCAACGTACCCAGGGTGCAAACACCAAAGGGAAAAAACCAACAGTCCGAACTCCCCTCGAGGAGACCGAACTCCCTTCGAGGAGCCCGAACTCCCTACAAGGAGCCCGACCTCCCTACTAAGAGCTCGAACTCCCTATGAGGAGCCCGAACTCTCCCTTTAACCCTGAGCCACACAAAGCAGTGACCCGAACTTGCCCGCCTCATGGCAGTTCGGGACACTCCCCTATCCGAGCTCAAGACTTCGCCTCGCACACCGCTCCAGCACTTCGCCTCCAGAACACTGTACCTGACACTAAAGGAGTCCGTATCCGGGGGCGGCGCACCTGACTGACTTGGGATCTGACGCTTGACAGCCGCATTTCAACGGCCACCTGCCACCGTCACCTACCACCGCCATCTCCAGTTATAGAGACGGCTCCGACAAAAGGAGCAGTGGCGGTTCTGCCCCAGCAGAGGTGATGACACCCGAACCGGCAGAAGCACGGAAGTAATCATACCCGACCTGACAGAAGCCTAGGAGTGAGTGTGCGAGGTGGTTATAAAAGGCTCTCTACCCCCCAAGAACAGGGTATGCAAACTTTGCGCTATCTGGTTTTATCTCGCCTTTGAAAGATTCTAACTTGAACTTCGGAGCCTTTACACCGAGTTCCCCCCGGAGCTTCCTCATCTTCTCCGTTTCAGGTTCCCTGTTGCTCAATTCAGAGGCAAAGTCGTTGACAGCTAAGACCGGCTGGATTGCGCACCATTAGTAACAGTTTGTGATACGAACTCCAAAGATGATTAATTGTATGTGGGTACTTGTGCCAATAGAATTGATTATATAATCTGATTGGTGGTGCCAGACTAAAATATATCTGTCGGTGGTGGATCTCAGCTCCAAAATCTTGGCCAATACATAAAAAATTCATTATAAACAAGTGACCCGCTAAATCTTTGAGCTGGGTTTCATGTCAAGAGAGAGAACGGGAGTTATGCTACTCGTTGGTTCCATTTTTTATAGGGTTGAAGAAGAAAAAGATAGAGAGGAAAAAAGAAAATAAGAAAAAAAAGAGAGGAGAGAATGGCATGTTTTGAAAATTTAATCAACAGTTAAGAATAATTTGGTCCTTAAATTTTATCGCTTGGGTTGGAGTTAATTAATTAACCCTTTTAAATATCAAATATGAACTGTCTTTCTCATTAAAAGTTGTGGATGATTGGTCACCACTAGGGTCTCCAAAAACGTGAATTCTTGAAGGATGGATATCTCACGCAGGTCGAGGGAGTTCGGCTCTTGTCAGGGCAAGTTGGTGTTTACATCGTTCGAGCAGCCCCTTCTAACTTCTCCTATGGAATAAATCACATAAATACGGAGATATTCGTAATGTAAGGCTGTAAAGGTTGTTGAAACGAGCTTTGCCTTGACTGAAGTCGGACTCAGGTCGAGGGGGCATTGCATCTGTGGTTAGATCCTTTACAGGCAGATTTTGAATTGTGGTCGACTACTGCCAATAAAATATGTTCCAATACTCTACCAACTTGATTTAACACCACACATCTCACTGTAAAATTGGACCCACCATGAAAGTGGGACCAACGTTTTAAAAAATGACCTGGAAATGAAACCGTTATGGGCACTGATTTCTGGGTCAACAGTCCGATTGTCCGATTCGAATGGACGACCCGTTCTGATAGAAGAATTAAAAAAATAGTAAAATAATAAAACGGACAAAAACTGTTGAACAGGTCGACAGGTTGACCGCCCAGATCAACGGTTTTTGACCAGATTTCAAATTTGGGGTAAAACGGAACTGGTTGCCTGAACGACCGTCTGGATCAACGGCAATTCGAAAACGTTGAGTGAGACTTGTCATATATATGTATGAAATGATGTTGGTAGGGAGTTGAAACATATTTTGATGGCAGGTGATACTGTTTTCTGCACCATACACCAATTGCAATCTGCCATATCAGCTTGTCGGTTCTGCAGAGGAATTCAGATTTCATTCTCACCAAACATATTCTCGTGTCGTCTTGACAACCTGTGTGGCCGTGCATTGAGAACATCTCCCAACTCTGTAAGGGCTCAAGGGCTGTGATCGAGGATGAATTTTATGAGGATTAGATCCAAACTCTGTGTGAAGAGGATATGGCCCTGAACTTTGGACACATACAAGGTATATCATCGGAATTAGAATTTGCTCCTCACACGGATTTTACAGCCACATCTTAAGCAGATCTAGACTCACATCATCAATGTTGTAATACTCTGGGCCCGAGCCAGAGGAATGATTTCTGGGCTGAATGTTGGGCCTCAGCTTGACCTTCACATTGTCTTGTCTCCCTTTTGTAGTTTCTATTTTTCAAATAAAACAAAACTTCTCCGCATCAAACCCCATTTCATTTCCTGTGCACGAGCAGGGGAAACAAAGCCTGTTAACGGCACAGTCTGTCAAACGGGGACCAACTTGTCCTATCTCCTATGTACAGGTACAGCCCATGGAAAGAGAGCCTTTTTAACTAACTTATTATGCAAGGAAAACCTTGACAAGGTGGACCAGGATTAGGGCTGAAAGGGATCCGATTTGGAACGAATTGCATCCGCATCTGATCATACCTTTAGATTTGGAATGATTTTTGGCGAAATAACGGTTTTGAGGTAAAACGGAATTAGTCACCTGATCAGTTTCCAGTTTTTCCAGTCCGATTTTGAAAATCATGGTTTAAAATGATATAAAGATTTTAAAAAGTTAAAAAATAATTATTTTTAATTTATATACAGTAAATGTATATAAATATAATATACTAAAATTTTCAATTATAAACTTCGTAATATATTTTATATATACTAAAAATTTTTATCGGACTCGATTTTAATTGATCAAATGGGTTATGGAAACAATCAAGACTGATTCTCACACCCCACCTCACAGCACTTGAAGTCATGCATTGAAACATCTCCACGAACAAAAAACATACAATTATGAAGATATTCCTAATGTGGGGCTGCAAAGGTTGTGAAGTGGGTGTGAGGACCAATTGTGTGAGTAGGAAAGCCAAACTCCTTTATTTGTAACTAGGGGTGAAAGTTGGGATGGGTCATGTTTGAGGTCAACCTAGGCCCAACCCTAAGAGTGGGCCTAGGGCCTAAGCCCGAGGTAGTGCATTATGTTCAATCTAAGCCTGGTTCATACTAAAATTATGCATTTGGGTTGGGCTCAACATGTTGAAATTTGACAATCATGTGTGTGTGTGTATATATATATAGCGTTATGGCCACCGGTTTCCTCATCGATGATTTGATCATCCGGTTCGAATGGATTGCCTGTTCTAACAAAAAATTAAAAAATAAAAAATAAAAAAAAATAATTAAAAATAAAAAATGGTCAAAACTGTTGAACAAGTCGACGGGTCAACAGATCGTTGGCTGGTTCAACGGTTTTTGGCCAAGGACCGGGTTTGGGTTAAAACGGAACCGGTTGCCTGGATGGTTCCTGAGCCGAACGGTCCGACAATCCAGGTCAATGGCGGTTCGAAAACCATATATATGTATATAATTTTCTCCTCACACCGACCTTAGAGCCACATCCCACCATGTATTTGAAACATCTCCACATGAATAATAAATATAGTACATGAGATGTTTCTAATGCACGACCAAGACATGTGAGGAGCACTTTGAGAGGAATAAATTTAGAATCTTTTATAATTTATAATTTTTATATATATAATAAAAATGTATTTTTTTATTTTTATAAGAAACTTTGCTCATAATAGAATTCGAACGTATAAATTTTTTAGTCAAGCTAAATTCAATTTCAAATCTCTAACTCAAACAAGCTCTGAATCTCATATTTTATTTTAACAAGTTGAGTTTGAATATATTTGACTCAACTCTCCTAGAAAGAAGTTGAGAGGAGAGATTAACCAAGATCCAGGGTGCATTCGAAACGTGACGGGATAAATGGGCACCTCACAAGCACATTCACCATGCATTGGGAACGTCTCCATGAATAATAACCAATAATTACAGGAAATATTTCCAATGCGCGCAAGAAGTGAGGAGCAGACCCGTCTCATTGGAAACATATTCCCACGGAGAAAATGTACGGAAATGTTTTCAATGCACGGTTACAACTGTTATGACGAGTGAGGACAAATTGGGAATATCCCCGTATTTTATGTTTCGTTCGACTAATGAAGGACAACGTGGCTCCTACTTCCCACTTCCCAGGGGCAATTACGAAATTTAAATGAATGATAGGGTCTTTTTTTGACCAATTATATTTCCTTCGTCCTAATTTGTAACATCATTTTAAGTTTTGCTTCGTTCCGAGTTTTGAGTCTTTCACTCTTTTTGACCGTTGCTTTCCTCAACGTCTCTTTCTGAACTCTCTCTCTCATCAGCTCCCTCTTCTTTTCCCCCCCTACAACCAGATTTGTCTTCTAAAAAGTTCTCTTTTCATTTTTCGTTCTACGGATTGATCGATGAAACCAGGAAACGGAGTTCCTTACTGTTTAAGCTTCCTCTGCTTATGAGATTCGGTTTTAGCAGAGATTTCATCTAGAAGAAACGATTGCTTTGAAATAGAATTCATTTTCATCTGGGTATGTATGTTCTTCATCTTTTAGTATATTTACGATGAAAAGATTTCATCTTTGACATGGGTCTCTGATTTTTCAGCTTATCCCAGTTTCAATTCTAATATTTCCTTGGTTTGGAGGTTCAGTGGGTAGGTTTGATCATCAAAGTCTTGTTTCGATAATGGGAGTTAAACATGGATTTCATCTGAGTTGGCCTTCAGTGCTTCTTCATTTGTTAGATTTCATGATGTATATTTCCTTGTCAAAATTTGATTCTTTTTTTAACGAGAATCTGTTACCTTTTCTAGCAGTATATTTCACCATGAAAAATATTTTCTGAAAATGGAAATTAGCTATGAAAAAGAAACATATTTGTTCTCCTAAACTTGAATGGTTGGCTTCTGCGAATCGATACTGTTTTTTTATATTTATTTTCATATTCTTTTAAATTTACTGAATTCGGGTTCTGGACTTTTCAGTAAATTTGTCTATAAGAATTAGGTTCTCAATGTTATCTGTAACTGAGGATTCATCTTTAAGTAATAGCTTCTCTCTATCTACTGTAGTAGATACAAATCGATTTTTCTCTTTATTTCAGTATAGCTTCCATTTTACAAATAAACCAGGCATAAACGCCCATTCTTTGAATGCAGGAATTTTTTTTTATATATTATTTCATTTTCTTTTCAGTTTTTGTGAATCCCTATTGCTTCTCGGGTTGGATATGGAATTTTGAAGTTATTTTTGTTCTCACTTGAGGAAATTGAATGATGTATTGTTTCTTCCACATAATCTACCAACGATTATGTTCAACCTCATTTTTAAGGAATGACTTCTCTCTGTTACTTTCTGCTCACATGTATTCAACTACTCTCATTCATGAATTTTAAGTCTCTCAACTCTTCATCTTTTTTTTTTTTTTTTTCTGTTCAGCCTCAAAAAATCCTTATGAATTTGGTGGAAAATATATGGCCTTCTTATAATCTGGGTTTTCCATCTGAGCTTGAAAAATTCATAGAAGGTGATAGAGAAAGAGCGAGATGGGATGTTCTAATTCAAAGCTGGATAATGAAAAGGCAGTGCAGCTTTGTAAGGATAGGAAAAGATTTATTAAACAGGCTGTGGAGCAGAGGATCAGATTTGCCTCTGTACATGTTGCTTATCTACAGTCCTTAAAACGAGTCTCTGATGCTCTTCATAATTATGTTGAGGGATATGAATCCCTTGACTTTCTGTTGGATTCATACACTACCCCACCTTTGACGCCCACCAAAAATATTGGCCCGGATATCATCTCAGTTTCATCTAAATCCTTGTCAACATCGCCAATTCAATCTGAGACAAACTCATTTTTCAAAGTGAATTGCCTGAAGTCGGGTGGAAATCCATCGGTTTATGTTGAGGAGAGACCCCCGTCTCCAGAGATGGTGAGAATTGAATCATATTCCCCAATGCACCGTTTTGGGATTGATGGATTCTTTACAATGAAGTCTTCACCCATGAATTCATCACCATCATTCATCTCTTCATCTCCAAACAATGGATCTAGTTTTCCTCCCCCATCACCCCAGGCTTCTCAATGGGACTTATTTTGGAATCCATTTTCCTCATTGGATGTGTATAGCTATACCGCTTGGGGTAGTCTGGATCACACTGAAATGGATAATGAGATCACAGGATTGAGGCAGGTTCAAGAAGAAGGAATTCCTGGTTTGGATGAAGTGGAAGGAAAGAAAGAAGACAAGGAAGATGAGAAGGTAGAAATGACAGAAGGAACTAAAATCGACTCAGACTGTTGTAGAGAAGCGGTTATAGTCAAAGATGCTTCTGAAACTGGAAGTGACACTGATGCTGAGCATAAAGTTAAAGGACTACAGTCCCATGGTGCTAAGAATACTGAAGTATCAAAAGCACAAAATGAAGAACTTAAAGTGAGTAATCAAGAGACTACTGTTGCTGATCAAGAAGCAAAGAAAGAAACACCTGGTTTTACTGTTTATGTAAACCAAAGACCAACAAGTATGACAGAGGTCATCAAGGACCTAGAGACTCAGTTCATTATAATTTGTAATTCAGCTAATGAGATATTGAAGATGTCAGAGGCTAGCAACGCTCAGAACACCACATTCTCAAATGAACTCACGGGTATGTATATTTACTATTCATTGAGTCCTATTAAACAGCCTCCAGTATTACCACATTCTCAAATGAACTCACAGGCATGCTTAATTCAAAGGCTTTGTATTTTTTTGTGTAGTTTCTGAAATAAGTTCTGACGTGTAAATTGCAGTCCAGTTCAAATGCTTCCACAATTTCGATAGATATGTGAATCTAAAATATAACCTTCAATATTACTATTATCTTTATATACTATTTAGAAATAGATGGTATTCAATGAGATTCTTTCATAGATCAGATGGTTCAAATCAATCAATGAGGTTTATAACCTCACCTAAGAAGAACCTAGGCAGGATCATCCATCTTGCCCTGGTATTCAGTCAATAGACAGGAAGAAGGAACGATTTTTTTGGCTGCAATATAGACAGGAACAGAGTTACCCTACAAGAATTTTGGTTTACCATTTCCCTGTTTGGTCATGCCTGGTGTTTTCTACCCTAACACCATGTTTGGTTTGAAAGGAAAAGTAGGGAAAAGAAGGGAAAGGCAGAGAAACATATACAAGGTTTGTAAAGGTTCCCTACCTTTTCTTTCAAACCAAACACAGCCTAAACTTTCACAATATTCATCTGATATAACTTTGTTTGTGCAGGTCTGAAAATGCTAAATCCAATTGCATTATTCTATTCAGTTTCATCACACTCATCAAGAGTTTTCAACAATTCTTCAAGTTTTGAGAATGTGGGTTATGATAGTAGCAGTGACTTTTCTGAAGACTCGTGTATGTTCTCAGGGAGTGACCAATCAACTCTAGACAAGCTATATGCTTGGGAGAAGAAGCTATACAAGGAAGTCAAGGTAATCTCACTTCTTTCATATAGCATAATCCCATAGCAAGACACTAGTTTTTTCCCAGATCAAATGAGTAGATGAATGAGATTTGTGTAATCAATGCATCAACAGTCTGGAGCACAGATTCGTATTGCCTATGAGAAGAAATACATGCAACTCATGAACCAAAAAGGGAAAGCAGAGGATCCCTCTGTGGTACATAAAACAAAAGCAGCAATAAGAGATCTCCATACACAGATCAAGGTCTCAATACACTCCATTGAAACAGTATCGAAAAGAATTGAAACTTTAAGGGATGAAGAATTACAGCCACAGCTTTTGGAATTGATACAAGGGTATGTTGATTCTCTTTCTGACTTCTTAATCAGTGATTTTAAAAACTATAATGCATTTGAACCATTCAGACCAACAACTAGTTTGGAAAACAATTTAATGTTTTGAATCATTTCTAATTCAAACCTTAATTCCATTTTTTATAGAAAAATAAATATGGAAAATCCTTAAATACCAGTCCCAGTGGTCTGACATCCAATTCAGCTTATGGTGTCCATGTGCTTGAGTTTTCTTCATCTTTCAGATTTCATAGATGTTTTGAAGCATGAGAAGGAATGGAAGAAATTCTTTATACTATAAATGCAAAACTATAATGTTTTAACAAGTTACAGGTCAAATTTGATATAAAACATGCAGAATCCCTCTTATTTAAGCAATGTTTATTCTAATTGAGAGAAATTACAATAATGATTTTTTGATTCCTAGATAATTTCAATAATGATTTTTTAAATCATAAAAATCCAATAAAATGGGTAAACTTGTCCATTCTGTTTTGTAAACTTTCCTCCGAAGTTAATAGTGATACCCAGGAAACTAACTTTACATTGAGGCCCAAAGTTAAGGACGAAAAAAAACTTGTGAAACTGATCAATGAGAACTGTGAAAATTTTTCGTTGGTTACCGTGAAAATATTTCAAAATAAATGAAGTAAAAGAATACAGATAAAGCTAAAAAATACTATCCAAACAAAGAAGAGTTCAAACCAATTTTAGCCATCAAACTAATTCTGTCTTCTGACCATGAATGTCAGGTTAGCAAAGATGTGGAAAGTGATGGCAGAGTGTCACTGTACCCAGAAGCGTACAATAGACGAAGCCATGCTCTTACTAGCTCCGAAACTGAAGGAGCCGAAACACACCAGAATAGCAGCACCAAGTGAACTACTAGACCGACTAGTTAGATCGGCTTCACAGCTTGAGACAGAGCTCCGAAATTGGCGAGCTTGCTTCGAGTCATGGATCTCTTCACAGCGATCCTACGTTCAAGCACTAACCGGGTGGCTCCTCCGATGCATCTGCTCCGATCCTGAAACATCAAAGTTGTTACCCCTCTCTCCTCACCGTTCTGGTGGGACCCCTCCCATATTTGGAATTTGCATTCAATGGTTCAGATTCCTCGACACCATCAGTGGGAAACCTGTAATGGATGGCCTCGATTTTTTTGCCAATGGGGTGAGATTGAGATCAGTAGTACACGCAGAGAAACCATGTGACGAGAAGTTGGGGTGGGAATGGGATTGCCGCCAAACTCTGACAGAGTCGAAGCGATTTGCTGGAGAGAAGCTGGAGGTGGTGGAGGTGAGTCGCAGTCTGGGGGACTCGGTGGTAGCAGAAGAGATGGCTTCAGGGGTTGTTGGCATGAGAGTTCTCTGTGCTGGGATGTCGGTCGCCATGAGCTCTATAACAGAATTTGCGGTTAGGTCGGCAGAAGGGTACACAGAGCTGGTTAAGCTATGGGAGAATGTAGGTAATGGGGGGGATAGAGAGGAGGAAGGGATCCATCCTTTCACCACTGAGAGCTTGAGCGCTAACTCACCTCCTCCTCTCTGATTTTTTAGATATTACATATGTGCACATTTATTTTAAATTAAATCATTAAAAATAGTGAAATTTCTTATTTATGACAAACAAGGTTCTAAGGTGTATTAAAAATAGTGAAATTTCTTATTTATGACAAACAAGGTTCTAAGGTGTACCTGTGTTTTTATTATTTCTTACCTTTTTTTTTTTCCAAACTGATTCAGAGTGATCGATTTATAGCCTATATACCCTCTGAACCAGGTTAGACCTTAAAATCCATATTCATTCTTAAATCCCAATCTATTTCTCCTTAATAATAAATTAGTCGTCAGACCCGTACAAAGATGGAATTCTATGACATTTCTAGTAGTGTCCATCTAAGTTCAATTCAAGAATTATTTTTTGGGTTATGTCTACTTTATTCGATCACAATCTAAGTTATGTTAAAGTGAGAGTGGTCAATTTCCTATTTTTTAGATAAATTTATATTTTTTGTATTCTGTATCTTAATGTTAATTTTTCTTTATTTTTAAAGAATTTGTTTATTAATTTTATTCATTTATTATTATTTTCAGGCAAATTATAAAAAAGCATCTAAATAACAATTTCTATAAACCACCTCTAGGTTTTAACCCTAACAATGACCTCCCCTATAGTTTTGAAAACCCCATTTCCCTTAGCTTTTTAGTAATAAAGACATTAAAGTTACCAAAATACCCTTGTCATTGTTAATATGCACAATTTAAAGCCTCAACTTTATCCTCCACTAATTTATTTTGTCAAACAACTTTCAAGGAACAATTTTCCTTACTCTTCTTATAACATCTCACTTTTCCTCTTAAAAAAGTCATTTACTAAAACACCCACTGAAGTTTCATGGATCAACTAAAACCTACCCTATCATTTGTAACCAATTTACTTAATTAATCCTCTATTAAGAGTCCTTTGTATTTCTGTCTAAAAATGGTAACATGACCATATCAAGCTTTTACAAAGAATTTTCAGATCTATCAAAATTTATCCTATAGTTTGTGCTTTACTAATACATACCTTATAGTTTGCAATTAATTTACTTAATCAACATTCTATTAGATGGAAGTGGAAAATGACAGATTTAACCTTAATCCCTTCAAGCAAATTTAATCTACAAAAAACAAAAGTGGAAATGACATTATTGTCCCTAGTAAAATGCGGGCAACAACTCTCTTCAAGGGATGCTTTAGTAAATGACCCTAAATTAAGTAGATTGAACCTAGCTTGGATCCAAACTAGTGTCAAAACCCAAATTTGTCCACTAGTGCATAGGGTGAATCTATCGTCTTCATTTATAAGTCTCAAGATTCTACCACTCTATTTGCCGATATATTACTTGTCGGTTTTTAATATCCCAATAGGTGTAGTTAGGAAATTGGAAAAAGTGATGAGTGACTTTCTTGGAGGGCTAGGGGAGGAGAAAAAAGACCATAGGGTGAGATGGGATTTGGTGAACAAAAGTAAAAGTTTTGGAGGGTTGAGAATTGAAAACATTCAAAAAAGAATGTGGCTATTTTGGGAAAATGGTTGTGGAGGCTACCTTTGGAGAAGACAACCTATGGGACAAGGTAATTGTCAGCATTCATGGGCTTGCTGCTAATAGCTGAAACATTGAAATATTGGCTAGGGCTACGAGAGCATCCCCTTGGAAAGTAATTCAAGCTATCCTATCTTTGTTCTTGCCTGTGATTTGTGTTCTAGTGATCATAATAACTTCTGGTAACATCACTGGATTGGGGACTCCCCTCTAAAATCAATTTCTTTCTTTGTTTGCCCTCTCCAACTACAAAAATGAGCCTATTTGTTCTTTTTTGGTTCCTTCCAATTCCAGAAGAGCTATTAGGCATACAGAGCTAAACAGCGTACCAATGTTACTTGATATTCTTGACAAAACTTTCCTGGACCCTATTGATAGCCAAATTTGGACCCCTTCACCCTCTAGGCCTCTGGTATGTCCTCTTGTTCCTCTTTTTTCAAATCCTTAACTCACCCTACTGATAGTGGTCAACTTTCTTTCCCTGTTTCTGGAATAGGCTTACTCCTCCTAGAGTTGGGAGTTCATGCTAGGAAGTCATCTTAGAAAGAATCAATTCATGTGACTTGCTTCAAAGAAAGACCTAACAGTTGTTTATCCCCTCACTGGTGCATTCTCTGTAAGGTTGATGGTGAGAGATAAAAACCTAGGGCAATCAGGAATTGGTGGAGTTTTTAGGGATGAAAGAAACATAATTGCTCTGTTCCCAAATTGGGGTGGACGATTCCTTAAGAGCTGAGATTTTAGCAGTTGTGGATGGGGCAAAGAGGGAGACTCAAAGTTGGTGGACTGGTTAAAGGAGAAGTGCCAACAAAAGACATTGAAGCTAAGGCATCTTGGAACAGACGAAGTGCCAACTTCCTTGCAAGGTTCTAAATATCGTTGCGCCCAATACGCCAGTAGGGGCATATCGGGTAGTATCAGTACTTTTTTTTTAACTTTTTTTTCAAATCTGGTTCAGGGGGGGGCGGTTTAAGGTTCCTCCACCCCCTGAACCAGTCAAAACCTTGATACACCCTCTGTAAGGGTGTATCGGGGTGCTCCCAATACGGGCCGATATGTATCAATTTTTTGAACTTTGCTTCTTTGCTGATGGGCTAGCAAAACAAGGGGTGAATAGAGAATCTTTTTTCTGGGCTCAATTATAATATTTTCATTTTTTTGTTGGTTCTGGCTCTGTTTAGTTCCTATGGGATAAGAAAGTCTATCCCTCCTCTGCCTTGTATTTGGCTCTTTCTTCTAGTAAAATTTACTCTTTATTGATATATATAAACCATTTATTCCTTTCCATGGGTTATCAGGTTTTTTTCCCTTTTTCCATTAATTTAATGTGAATTTATTTCATTACTTCCATAGATTATTATTCTAAACCAACTTTAAATTTATTTTTAACTTGGTTATCGATCTCATGCTAAGCATAATTTTTTTAGCTTTATAAGTACTATACAATAGGAGAACATCCCACAAACTAGTGGTGGTGGGATTTGATCCTAGGGCATACCTACAATTAGCTAGAAAACCTATCAACTAAGCCACCATCAAATGGTTCTCATACCAAACAATTGATTTATGTATTTTTCATAATATATAAGCTATATAAAAGGAATAAATTCAAAATTCAATTACTAAAAACAAAGTTCAAAGTATCAACACATATGGCTGATATCGGCCAATACGTATCATTCCAGAACCCCTCCGATACACCCACTACAGGTCTGACCAGTTCAGCGGGTGGAGCCCTAAACCAGCCCCCTGAACTGTTGGCAAAAAAAAAAGCAATATCCATTCACTTGATACTCCCCTACTGACGTACCAAGTGTACCGATATTTTGAACTTTGACTAAAAAAAATGTTTTTCATTTTTATACATAAAGAATTAAAATATATAAAAAAATTAGTGAATTCACTGTTACTTCATTTTTTCTTAAAAAGTATTCTTCTAAACAATATAATCTGCTGCATTGCTAGGGTCACCGCTAGTGTAATTATAAAATCCTCGAGAGAATAGTTGCAGTCTTGCAGAATAAACACTACACCAGTAAATCGTTCTATTCTTCTTTCTAATTTCAGAATTAAATTCTCAATTTGTATCAAAATGTGAATAATGGTTCTAAAATTTTCATGCGTAAGGGGAGGGGGAATGGAAAGCTTTTAACCTTCCCCAACTCAAATGGACCCATGTCAACAGAAATGCGCAGAAGTGAAAGATGAAACTCAAAATGGGAACAATATCCTAAGTTCCTAACTAGGCATATAGACTTTGTGCTAGTAATGAACGTAAAAATGAACAATCAATATTTAACAAGTTGCTTTGTAGAAGATTAGATGATTTTAGTCATCATAATCCATGCCATCATCACCATCGTCAGCTTCCAATTCAGCATCATCAGATCCACCCATAATAGATAGGAAAACAAGAACCGCAACCAACTGCGTTGCCAAGAAGTATTTGGCCCTTCTTCTGAAGGTTTTCTCTTCTTCCGTCTTCTCCTTCTTGGGTTTGCTTTTAGGCTTTGAACCTAAATAAGGAAATAAAAGTTGCCAAGTTAAAGTAATGCAATATTTTAAAAGCACAGGGCACAAGAAAAACGCAAGGGGCTTTTTGTGCAAGACGCGAGGTGAGGTGCACACCTTTTTGAAAGAAAAAAAAATCAATATTCAAAAAAATGCAAACAATTTTAAAAGAAACTAAATGTTTTAAAAAGCCTACTGGATCAACTTAAGTTGTATATAAAGATATATTCAAAGCAAAAATGTAGAAATAAAATCAAACATACAAATCATATTTAAGCATGTGAAACTTTCAATCTGTTTATTTCTCTCCCAATTGTATTATTTTAAGTAGCGAATGTGAAGTTAAACATCTTGCATTCCAAATTCCATGAGCCAATCTTTATACCAAGCCCTTTGAGGCAAGGCCAAACAAGTCAATGCCGGGTCCTAAATTCATGGCCACTATATAAAGAAATTGGTTTTGTAGTTCCTTAGAATATGAATCAAATGTTGTTTGAATGTCTTGTATTAAGAATGATGAGAGAACAACATTTAACAAAAAAGGGAGTTGTCTCCTAAAAGAGATTCTTATTCCTACAACTAAAATTACAAAACCAATTTCTTTATATACAAGCCAAGAATTTAACCCCAACATTGTTGACTTGTTTGGGCTTGGCCTCAAGGGGCTTGGTCGAGGTCCAAGGACGAAACCCCCAGCCCAGCCACTTAGCTTGAAAAGGTGCACAATTGAGCTAAAGTGCATGCCTGAGTTGAGGCACAAAGTACACCAAGAATGTGCCTTTTCAAAGGGGCCACATTTGGGCTTAGACAAGTAGAATGCACCTTGCCTGTGCACCTCGGCACACCTGAAGCACGCCTCTTTAATCACTGGTTATAGGACACTTGAACGAATAGATGCAAAGATGTGCAATCAATCAATCTAAAGTCTAAAGAGAAAGGAAAAAGGTAATAGTTGGGAAACAATCTTATGCTCTTTACTCTGATCCAGAAGAGCAAAGTTGAGAGTGGAGTTTGGTCATAATCCAAGGGAATTTTCAGCAGTACACATTTACTGTAATATCAACTTGGGCACATAATCCTGCAACTCATGACATGATACCCCAGTCTCAGTACAACCGAGACTTGGTCTAGAATGCCTAAAATCAATTTTGTCCTGGTCTTTTGAAATAATTAGCCATCATCTTGCAACTTATATCACATAACTGGGTCATTAAATTTTTTCCTTTTTCACCCAAAAATTGCTGACTAAGCTAACCCAAGTCACTCTCTAAAAGATCCTGAAGACTTCATCCACTCCCTCATTTTAAATTTGGTTTAAGGTTGATTCAACCTAATCAAAATGTTTGCATGTCCAGTGGCCTAAAGCTGCAACAGGAGCTAAGCCACTAGGAGAAAGGTCTAATCCCAGTTTACCAATGCATGCATTCATTACTATTTACTAGTTTGAAGAGAAAGGTAGTTTGAAGTATCTTACTCCAACTTGGAGGAGTTCTTCTTGGTGTTGTTGATGAAGGGTCAAATGGAGACCGTGGAACAGATGAAGGCAATGAACCAGCTTCCAAGAACTCCGTCTTAAAATTTTCAGCGTATCTTACAAGATTGCTTTGCTCTAAGAGCTTGCTTCGCAACACCGATGTACCCTTTAGCACAAAGAAAAATTAGAGAAACAGTTTGGACAACCTTCAGATGCATGGCTACAATTAGAATGGTTGGATTCAGCTAAAAGACATGATGAGAAAGAATAAATAAACAAGTAAATAACCACAAAGAAAAATTAGAGAAACAGCTTGGACAATCTTCAGACGAATGACTACAATAGGATGGTTCAGTTCAGCTAAACGATTTGACAAGAAAGAATAAATAAACAAGTAAATAACCATTTATCATCTGCAAAAACTGTCTTTAATAGAAGATAGTTCCTTGTAGAAGAATAAGTATCAGGGAGAACTGTGTAAGTTTCAAACAAAATAATATACAAGAGAAAATATTTAGTGGGAAAAAGAAAAGAACATAGGGGAAAAACCACTAGATCTGTTAATTTCTTCTTCCAATCACAGATTAGAATTTCAGTCACCAGCTTTTCTTCCCAACAGAAACATATGCTTTAAAAGAATTTTCTTGTAGGTCAACGAAAGCAAAAATGACAAGGATATAGGAAATACCAGAAAGAGGTTTTTCAAAACTGAATTTTCTTAAAGGCCTAAACAGGCCAGTGGGCCCGACCCAGATTGTTTTTAAGGTGCGTGAGCCACTAAAGAAACACGTGACTGGGGTTTCAACTATGATAGACTTCGGTTTCGGTCTATCATCGTCCCCAACCGCGAGCCAAAAGGGGGAATGCGCGCAGCGTCGGAAACCAGGAAAGAAGAGGGCGTTACAGTGGGTCTCCCGACGCAGCTTGAAGGAGCTTAGCCCCGTGCGAGGCTTCTCAGAGAGGCCGGAGCTAAGTTTCACTAGGGGAAGAACTGAAGAGAAGAAAGAGAAGTTTGAAGGGTGGGTGCAGTGCGGTGAAGACAAAGGTGAACCGGAGGACCTTTCTGTCGATGGCTCTAGCGTGGGCAGTGTAAACGATGAAGGCAGTTGTGCTGGAGGTGATATGGAAGGGTGGAATATTGCAAGATTATTCCAGGGTGAAGACTGCAATCGGATTATCTCATTCCCAAGACCACAGAGTGCGCAAGGTTTATCAGAAGGGGAAAACCGGGAGAACCGGAAGCAGAGCAGGAATATGCT